ACTGGGTCTCTGTATCTTGCCCGGCCAGTATGGAGGAAGCAAGCTCCCTTGCTGTGGGAGTGCCCAGCCTCAGGCTCCTGCTCTGCTATGGCGGGGCCCCGGAGGGGTAATGGACGGGGGGCTGTTTGGCTGTTTACCTCCGTGAGGGGTCTCAGAGCTGTTGCCCAGGGGGTTAGTGCGCCCAGAGTTCCCTGGAATTTCCAGCTGCTGGACTGTGATCCAGAATGCTTCCGTCCAGATGTGGCATCCCTGTCCCTTTAAGACTTTCAAAAAGCACTCGCTTTTCTTTGTCACAGGGGCACCAGCTTCGGGACCCGCTCAAAGATCTTGCTGCCCTGTTTCCCTAGTTTCCAGCACCCCACACATGCACTGTGTCTGTGCTCTGGTGCAGATGGCTAGGGCTGGGTGATTAGCAGTCCTGGGCTCCCTCTCCCTCCCCGTACCGACTCCTCTCCTCCCGCCGGGAGCTGGGGTGAGGGGCCTTGGGTCCCGCCAGGCCAGGGCTTGTATCTTACCCCTTTCACCACACCTGGGTTCTCGCAGGTGTGGATGTAGTCTGGCTGTTGTCCTGTGTCTTCTGGTCTCTCTTTTAGGATTAGTTGTATTTGTTGTATTTTCAAAAATATATATGTTTTTGGGAGGAGATTCCCACTGTCCTACTCATGCCGCCATCTTGGCTCCCTCCCTGTACAACTTACTTTTAAATGTTTCAGAAAAAAATATATGTATACATTTATAGGGACAAGCAGATGAAGAGAGTATGACAAAATGTTAATAATCATGATTATACTAGTCTTTCAGCTTGTCCATGTTTGGAAATTTACATTATAAAATTTCAGAGAGAAAAAGAATGGTTGCTATAAAGACAATTTTAATTTTATTTTGAAATAATTTCAAACTTACAGAAAAATTGCAAAGAGAATACAAAGAATTCCCATATACTCTTTGCCCAGATTCACTGATTATTAACATTACACCCATTTATCATTCATATTCATCCACTCAAATACACAGGCTCTCTCTACACACCCATGCAAACAAACATTTTTCTGAGGCTTCTGAGAATATGCTACAGACATCAAACTTTTACACCTATTTCAGTATAGATTTCCTAAAAATAAGAATGTTCTCTGACAATCACAGTTATCAAAATCAGAAGTATTGATATATTATGTAATCCACATCCTATAAATCAGTTTTTTACCAATTAAACAAATAATCTCTTTTACAACTTTTTTATAAAATCTTTCTTCTAGGAATTTATCTGAAGGATATAACCATCAAGATGGACAAAGATAAATGTCTAGAGATGTACATAACAATGCTTTAACAAGGGAAGAACTGAAAGCAATTTGAAAGCTGATGTCCTACACAGGGCATAAATCACAGGGCATCCATACCAAGGAAGGCCACACTGCTATAAAATAAAGCTAACAGCTGTTTATGACACAGAAAAATGCTCACACTATTAAAGATGGGATACAAAAACTGCTTAGATCACAACTTCATAAAAACAATTTTTTTATAATTTTTCTATTCCCTGATCAGAGTCCCACTCCAGGACCATGCAATGCATTAAACTGTTATGACTCTAGTCTCTATAAAGACTGTTTTTATAAGTGTGACATAATATTAACTTAAAGAGCAGGATATTCTAAATGCAATGCAGATACTGGATTGGATCTTAAAAAAGAAAAAAGACATTACTGCAGAAACTGACAAAAATCAGAAAGTCTGAAGTTAGTTGACAGCAATGTACCAACATTAATCTTTTAGTTTTGACAAATGGACCAAAGTTACATAAGATTTTAACATTAGAAGCAGCCCTACCTTTCCAACTATTCCATAAATTTAGTTATTCCAAAAAAAAAAGGTTTATTAAAAATAAACCAAAAAAAACGTGCCAGATATAAAACTAAGGAAAATACACACACATATAAGAAGATATAACCACCAAATGCAAAATGAGTTATGGGACAATTTGGAAAATCTGAATATGGGTGGACTAGGATGAGATGAATGTTTAGTGATTTTTGTTAATCTTGTTAGAAGAATTAATGGTATTGAAAATACCCTTACTATTGAGATGTGTAATTACTTAAGGGTGAAATGTCATGCTATTTGAACACTTTTTAAACAAAAAAAATTTATCAACTAACATCATTTAAAACATAGTGAGAATCTTTATTTTTCACAACTCAAGAGCTTTGAATTCACTTATGTAAATTACATTCACTAAAGTAAATTACATTTACTTTAACATTAAGTTCCTTATTTTATATGCAAAATCCCTAGATTAGGGAGCTTTTGTCACTACCTCAATCTATTCAGAGTATCTGTATCCCAAAGGGGTAAATTTTGGTACTGGGGAGAGTCAGAAGGGGAGAGGAAAGAGACAAGTTTAGACCAGAAACACTTGGAGAGGTAGGGTATGGAGAATATCTCTCAGTGCCTGTGAGCAGCTAGGGACCAAATCAGGGAACTGAAAATCTGGGGATGGGAGAAGAGAAGAAAGCACTGCCAGAGCACAAGAACAAAGGCAAACTGCTGACCTGGAACGGGAGCAGGGGCCAGCCTCCCACAGTTCCTGAGCCAAGCAAGTAAGGAACAAGGAGACTAGTGGAAGAAAAGTTTCACGTTCCCACCTACTGTCCTCTTCTGCAGGACTGGAAGATTCAGGCCCAGGGTTAGGGAGAGACTTTCTCAAGGGCTGAGGGACCAGCTCCCAGTAGGAGGAAGACAGCAGGTCTCTCCCCTCCGGCCTCTGATCTGAATCACTATCCTCATCTATTCTCTGACCCTCAACTAGTGAGATGGCTCAGTGATAAAATGAATAAGAGATTTGGGAAATTTCCCTAGGACAGACGAGTCATTCTCTGAAAACTTACTATGTGCTATGTAGCTTAAAAACATTTAAACTACCACATCCTTTCAGTAACAATCCTTCCAACAACCTGACAAGGAAGGTATTACTTTATCCTCTTTTCACAGGTGGGGAAACTGTTTTGAAGAAGATAGTTAAATGAGGTGTTCTAGGGCACCAAGCCAGAGAATGGTGGAGCCAGAATTTATACTCAGTCATCTGATTCTAAAGTCATGCCGTCCCCATTCTACTGTGCTGCCTCCTAAGCAAACTTCACAGTGCATCTACCTGCAGTTTGTGGGCAACAAACCTAACATGTACACCCAGGGGTTTCTCTCTGGCCAGGTATGGTTCTAAACTTACACAGCTTAGAGACAGCACAGGCTGCAAAACTAGAGAGATTATCCTCATCCTCCCAAAGACACACTAGAGAACTTTTCACCTGCTCAGAAAGCTTCCTCACTTCCTCTAGAATGGAGGCAACAGGCCGACTCCTCTCCCGGCCACGTGTGAAAGGAACTATGCAGTAGCTGCACATGTTGTCACAGCCTCGCATGATAGACCTGGGGAGAAGAGTGCCAAGACTTAGTAAGAACAGGATCCTTGTTCCAACCCAAGAAGCAAGTCACAGCTCCCTTGGCCTCACCCTTTGGCTCTGAATCTTCTTGGTACCATATTCCCACAGGACCAACCTGAGACATACCTTAGGTAGACATTTTTTATCTTTAAAAACTAGAACTTAATCATAAGATATAAATCAAATTGTAACTGGTGTATATTAGTGGCCCCCAAGGGAGCATAGTGAGAGACTGTTTAGTTACACTGTTTGAACTTTTTACATCTAAACCAGAAAAAAATAAATATTAAAGGTATATATAAAAAGTGGAGACCTCAGATTTAAAACACAGAGTTCTTCATTTCTCACTCACTCCTGATCCAATTATTAGGAATCTAAGTTAAATCACTCTCTTTCACTTATACCCTGTCTAGGAAAGCCTCAATTTATCTTAAGGAAATAATTATGAGTATGTATGAAAGATGTTCACTGAAGAATTATTAAATAAATGTTAGCTATTATTTTTATTAAGCACACCAGTAAATGTTTGGATAGCCATTAAAATGAGAGTTTTTCTGTAAAAAAACAAGATAGTAACTCTTTTAGGTCTTGCAGACTATCAGTCTCTGTCACTACTACTCAGTTCTGTTATTTTAGTGGCAAAGACGATCACAGAAAGTATGTAAGCAAGTGGGCATGACTGTATTTCAATACAACTTAATTTACAAAAATGGGCTGTAAGCCAATTTGCCAATCTGTTATGGAAAATTTGGTGACATAAGAGACACTCACCATTTTAAATAAGAAAAGGTTATTTTCTTAAGAAATAAGAGAAGGGGGAAAATTTAGTGAGAACGTTTGCTCTCTTGAACTGGGTAATGGTTACACGAGTGTATACACATGTCAAAATCCATCGAGTTGTACACTGAGATTTGTGCTTTTTATTGTATGTACCTCAATTTTTAAAAAGTAGAAAAAAAAAGCTAAATAAATGTTATCTTGGATATGAGCAAGAACAAAAATAATAAACTTGTTTTAAAAAAAATTTTTTTAAAGAAAAGGTTATAAAATGAAGTACACCAGGAGCCACTTCTTACAAATAAACACAAACACAAAGCATACACAAATGGAAAGGACAGGAAAGATACACAACAAAACAGTAACAGGTGGTAAGCATATAGGTAGTTCTTTTTCTCGATGTTTGTCTATCTTTTCCAGATATTCTTCAACAAATACAACTATGTTATCAGATTTTACTTCCTTTTTTTAAATTTAAAAGATCAGAGGAGGAAAAAAAGGATCAGGAAAGCTCAAGACATTGTCTTCAATGAAAAAATAAGAGTGTGGATAAGAGTAGGAAAGACACCACATTACATATATGAATGCATATGCAGAGTATTTCTCAAAGGATTATACAAGAAACTACTACTATGGCTGTCTCTGAGAGGTAGACTAGAAGACTGGGGATGACAGGTGGGAGGGAATCTTACTTTATCATTCTTTGTGTTTATATTTTGTGCTTTGTGCTTACATTAATTTTTGATGTGATTTTTAAGTCCAATTTTTTAATAACAAAATTAACATGCTATTTTAAAAGAGGGGAGAAATTCACTCCCTGTCTCGAGCAGCGACTCACACGAAGGCACAGGTAGCACTGGGACTTGTCTGGATTGGCATGACATCTGCGTAGGTCTCATCCAGAGACAGCAGCACATTCACAGCTTGCTGGCCTGACTCAACAACAGCCAGCAGCCGTGGCAGGTCTCGATAGGCATCTGGACCAGCCAAAATATCCACCATTTTCTCCCTGTCGAGGATCTCCTCCTTCAATCTCTCAGCCATGCAGCCTGGGAGGGAAAAGAAATAAGCACTTGATTGATTTATCTGGTCTCATGTACACATTATCTTCATACTCTTCTCAGTACCCACTATCTCTAGCTAGGATCAGATGCCAGGGCACAGAAGTTTCTCTAAGAGTTTAGCATCAACCCCTGAATTTGCCCAAACTTCTATAGCACTGGAACCTGAACCACACAGGAAGAGGGCTTTAGAGTAATTCAATTAAATGACTAGAAAAAAATTAAATCACCATCTAAAAACCTTTCTAGACATGAATCACCTCTTTTTTCCATTGAAAATTGCCTGGTGTGACAAATGAAAAATATTTTATGACAGGAACTTATTTTTAAAAAGAAAACTTATTGACATACAACTGTCTTATGCCCTTTATCCCTCTTCTTGCCCCAAATACTTGCTAAAACCTGTAAGAAATGAGTTAACCATCTATACTGGTGTCTTCCATATCCTAAAAGCTTCCATATCCACTGTTGGCAAGGCTACAGAATTTAAAATGCCATTTTATTACAAACACCCTTTGAAAACATTTATTAAAGAACTATTCTTGGTTGTAAACCCATGTTCACAGCAGCATCATTCACAACAGATAATGGTAGAAGCAACCCAAGCGTCCATTAACAGACATGATATATACATAGGACAGAATATTATTCAGCCTAAAAAAGGAAAAAAATTCTGACACATGCTGCCATATGGAGGAACCTCAAAGATGCTACACTAAGTAAAATAAGCCAATCAGAAAAGGCCACATATTTTATGATTCCATTTACATGATGTACCTAGAATAGTTAAATTCTTAGAGGTAAAAAACAGAGTGGTGGTTGCCAGAGGCTGAGGTAAAGGGAGAATAGTGAGTTATTATTTAATGGGTATGGAGCTTCAGTTTGGGAAGATGAAAAAATTCAGGATCTGGACCCATCATAGTTGATTTAACTATCCCACAATGGATACACTCTCTTTTTTTTTTTTGAGAGGGCATCTCTCATATTTATTGATCAAATGATTATTAACAACAATAAAATTCTGTATAGGGGACACAATGCACAATCATTAATCAACCCCAAGCCTAATTCTCAACAGTCTCCAATCTTCTGAAGCATAACAAACAAATTCTTACATGGTGAACAAGTTCTTACATAGTGAATTAAGTTCTTACATGGTGAATAGTGCAAGGGCAGTCATATCACAGAAACTTTCGGTTTTGATCACGCATTGTGAACTATAAACAATCAAGTCAGATACGTTATTCGTTTGATTTTTATACTTGATTTATATGTGAATCACACATTTCTTCCTTATTACTATTATTTTTTTTAATAAAATGCTGAAGTGGACACACTCTATTTTAAGATTAAGTACAGTAACAAAATTCTAGGACTGCGAGAGTACAGAATGTTTATTTTTAAATATGCTTCCCAGATCTCTAGATCACAGTGGTCCAACACAACCATTTAAGATGCTGGAAATGCTCTTTATCTGTGCTATCTAATACGGTAGCCACTAGTTAAGTGTGGCTACTGGGCATTCAACAGGCTGGTGAAACTGAAGAAGTGCATTTTTAAAATTATTTAATTTTAGTTAAATTTAAATAACCACAGAGGCTTAAAGATGGCGGCATGAGAGGTGAGACAGAAATAACCTCCCAAAACCACAAATAATATGAAAATATAGCAAATATCTAATCCGGAAAGAGCAAGAGGAAAGAAGAAGACTGTGGCAGACAGGCTACAACTGGGGAAACCAGCAGACCTCAAGGAAATGGGTAAAGTATGAAAGTCATGAATCGGAGGGACCCAACCCTTCCTCCACCCCAGCTCACGGGAGGGAGGAAGAGAAACAGAGAGGGAAGCTGGTGGAGGCCTAGGACTGCTGAGCACCCAGCCCTGGAGATCTGCTCTGGAAACATGAACCTACATTACATGGTGCTCTGGAGATTAGTGGGATTGGAAAGCTAAGACAGGCAGAATACTTGGAGACACTGAGATTACAGCAGCTTGTGGAAAACATATCCACAGCTGGCTGCTCTGTGACAAAAGAAGGGTGGGTGGTCTGAGAGGCTTCATCACAGCAAGATGGCTGCTAAAGGGGCAAGGGTTTCACAGAGCTTCCTGCTCAGGAAAAAGGACAGGTGGACAAAATTGTTGGGGGCACTCATCCCAGAAGGTTAGAAACTTTCAGGAGCTACAGCTGCTCCATACCCCCTGGCTGGCTACGCAGCTACGAGGCCCCCCACCATGATACGCAGCCTGCTGCACCATCTTCCCGGCCAGCACCAGTTCACAAACCTGCTGTCCCCACCAATGCGCCAGGCCAGCCAGGGGGCAGCCCAGCCTAAGGCAGCTACAAGCACAAAGCATAGAGGCTTCTCCTTGTGAGCTCAGCCCACTGGACCTAGCAGTACAGGCAGACACTACAGCTACAAAGTAAGAAAGAGCTCTTTCCTCCTGACAAGCATCAGGGCCCTCACCTGCCACCCCTGCGATCACTCCAGAGGCTGAGCAGCTACACAGAATATTCTGGACACTAGAGGGTGCCACCTACAAATATGAAACATCAAAGGAACCTGGTTGAAACCCAAATCCCACAAATACCAGAAAGAGGGAAAGTGAAACTGAACTCATCAATCTTCCTTTAAGAGATTTCAAAATAAAAATCATAAACATACTCACAGAGGTACAGAAAAATATTCAACAACTCAGGGAGGAATACAGGAATGAGATACAAATGTTCAAGAATACAGTATCTGAAATGAAACATACAATGGAGGGATTTAAAAGCAGATTAGATGAAGTAGAAGAGACAGTAAATGAAACAGAAATTAGAGAAGAGGAATACAAAGAAGCTGAGGCACAGACAGAAAAAAGGATCTCTAGGAATGAAAGGATATTGAGAGAATTGTGTGACCTATCCAAACAGAACAATATTCACATTATAGGGGTACTAAAAGAAGAAATCTGGGGAAGGAGGTAGTCTTGCAGGCCATGGAGATGCACAGACCTCCCAACACAAGGGACCCAAGGAACACCCATCAAGACATATAATAATTAAAATGGCAAAGATCAAGGATAAGGACAGAGTATTAAAAAGCATCCAGAGAAAGGAAAAAAATCACATACAAAGGAAAACCCATCAGGCTATCATCAGACTTCTCAACAGAAACCTTACAGGCCAGAAGGGAGCAGCACGATATATTTACTGAAATGAAGCAGAAGGGCCTCGAACCAAGAATGCTCTATCTGGCAAGACTATCATCTAAATTTGAAGGAAGGATTAAACAATTGTCAGATAAGCAAAAGCTGAGAGAATTTAACTCCCACAAACTGTCTCTACAGTGTATTTTGGAAGTACTGTTCAAGATGGAAGTGTTCCTAGGTTAAAGAGCTGTCATCAGGGGAAATAAAACCACACTAAAGAAAGCAGACCAATTAATTACTAAGCAGATGCAAAATCAAATCAACTACCCCCAATATCAGTCAAGGAATAGAAAAAGAGTACAGAATATGATATCTAATATATAAACAATGGAGGAAGAAGAAAAAGGAGTTAAAATAAAAAACCTTTAGACTGCATTTGTAATAGCACACTGAGCTAAGTTAGACTATTAGATAGTAAGGAAGTTACCCTTGAACTTTTGGTAACAACAAATCTAAAGCCTGCAATGGCAATAACTACACACCTATTGATAATCACCCTAAAGGTAAATGGTCTGAATGCACCAATCAAAAGACACAGAGTCACTGAATGGATAAAAAAAACAAGACCCATCTATATGGTGCCTACAAGAGACTCACTTCAAACCCAAAGACATACACAGACTAAAAGAAAAGGGATGGAAAAAGATATTTCATGCAACTAATAGGAAGAAAAAAGCAGGAGTTCCAGTACTTATATCAGACAAAATAGACTTCAAAACAAAGAAAATAACAAGAGACAAAGAACACTATATAATGATAAAGGGGTCAATCCAACAAAAGGATATAACCATTATAAATATCTACACAACCAACACAGGATCACTTACATAATGTGAAACAAATAGTAACAGAATTAAAGGGGGAAATAGAATGCAATGCATTCATTTTGGGAAACTTCAACACACCATTCACTCCAAAGGACAGATCAATCAGACTGAAAATAAATAAACAGACAGAGGCACTGAACAATGTATTAGAACAGATGGACCTAACAGACATCTACAGAACACTCCATCCAAAAGCAACAGAATACACATTCTTCTCAAGTGCACATGGAACATTTTCAAGAATAGATCACATACTAGGCCTCAAAAAGAGCCTCAGTAAATTCAGAAAGATTGAATTGTACCAACCAGCTTCTCAGTCCACAAAGGTATAAAACTAGACATAAATTACACAAAAAAAAACAAAAATTCCCACAAATACATGGAGGCTTACAACATCTTAAATATTCAATGGATCAATGACCAAATAAAAACAGAGATCAAGCAATATACAGAGACAAATGACAACATGAATTCAACACAGTAAAATCTGTGGGACACAGAGAAGGCTGTGCTAAGAGGGAAGTACACTGCAATACAGGCTTACCTCAGGAAAGAAGAACAATCCCATATGAACAGTCTAAACTCACAATTAAATTAATGAAACTAGAAAAAGAAGAACAAATGAGGCCCAAAGTCAGTAGAAGGAGGGACATAATAAAGATTAAAGCAGAAATAAATAAAGTTCAGAAAAATAAAACAACAGAAAGAATCAATGAAAGGAGGAACTGGTTCTTTGAGAAAATAAACAAAATAGATAAACATCTAGCCAGACTTATCAAGAAAAAAAGAGAGTCTACACACATAAACAGAATCAGAAATGAGAAAGGAAATATCACTATGGATGCCACAGAAATACAAAGAATTATTAGAGACTACTATGAAAAACTGTATGCTAACAAATTAGATAACCTAGAACAAATGGACAACTTTCTAGAAAAATACAATCTTCCAAGGCTGACCCAGGAAGAAACAGAAACTCTGAAGAGACCAAATACCAGCAAAGAAATTGAATTGGTAATCAAAAAACTACCTAAGAACAAAACCCCTGGCCAGATGGCTTTACCACTGAATTTTATTAAACATTTAGTAAAGACCTAATACCCATCCTCCTTCATTTTCCAAAAAGTAGAAAAGGAGGGAATACTTCCAAACTCATTCTATAAGGCCAGCATCACTCTAATACCAAAACCAGACAAAGTCACCACAAAAAAAGAAAATTACAAACCAATATCCCTGCTGAACATACATGCAAAAATACTCAAGAAAATATTAGCAAATCGAATTCAAAAATACATCACAAAGATTATCCATCATGATCAAGTAGGACTTATTCCAGGGATGCAGGGATGGTACAATATTCAATAATCCACCAACATCATACACCACATCATCAAAAAGAAGGACAGAAACCACATGATCATCTCCATAGATGCTGAAAGAGCATTCAACAAAATTCAACATCCATTCATGACAAAAACTCTCAACAAAATGGGTACAGAAGGCTAATACCGCAACATAATAAAGGCCATATATGACAAACCCACAGCCAACATCATACTTAACAGCGAGAAGCTGAAAGCTTTTCCTTTAAGATTGGGAACAAGACAAGGATGCCCGCTCTCCCCATTTTTATTCAACATAGTTCTAGAGGTCCTAGCCACAGCAATCAGACAACACAAAGAAATAAAAGGTATCCAGACCGGTAAAGAAGTCAAACTGTTCCTGTTTGCAGATGACATGATACTGTACATAAAAAACCCTAAAGAATCCACTCTAAAACTACTAGAACTAATAACTGAATTCAGCAAAGTTGCAGGATACAAAGTCAATACACAGAAATCAGTTGCATTCCTATATACTAATGATGAACTAGCAGAAAGAGAAATCAGGAAAACAACTACATTCACAATTGCATCAGAAAGAATAAAATACCTAGGAATAAACCTTACAAAGGAAGTGAAAGACCTATACCCTGAAAACTACAAGACACTCATGAGAGAAATTAAAGAAGATACCAATAAATGGAAATATATCCCGTGCTCATGGATAGGAGGAAATAATATTGTCAAAATGGTCATCCTGCCTAAAGTAATCTATAGATTCAATGCAATCACTATCAAAATACCAACAGCATTCTTCAATGAACTACAGCAAATAGTTCTAAAATTCATATGGAACCACAAAAAACCCCGAATAGCCAAAGCAATCCTGAGAAGGAAGAATAAAGCTGGGGAAACTGCTTACCAATGTCAAGTTCTAATACAAAGCCACAGTAATCAAGACAATTTGGTACTGGCACAAGAACGGACCCATAGATCAATGGAACAGACTAGAGAGCCCAGATATAAACCCAAGCACATATGCTCAATTAATATGTGATAAATGAGCCATGGATATACAATGGGAAAATGAAAGCCTCTTCAACAACTGGTGTTGGCAAAACTGGACAGCTAAACGTAGGAGAATGAAAATGGATTACTGTCTAACTCCATACACAAAAGTAAGCTCAAAATGGATCAAAGACCTGAATGTAAGTCATGAAAGCATGAAACTCTTAGAAGAAAACATAGGCAAAAATGTCTTGAATATAAACATGAGCAACTTTTTCTGAACACATCTCTTCAGGCCAGGGAAACAAAAGCAAAATGAACAAATGGGACTATATCAAACTAAAAAGCTTCTGTACAGCAAAGGACACCAAGAGTAGAACAAAAAGGCATCCTAAAGTATGGGAGAATATATTCATAAATGACATATCTGACAAGGGGTTAACATCCAAAATACATAAAGAATTCACACACCTCAACAACCAAAAAGCAAATAACCCTATTAAAAAATGGGCAAAGGAGCTGAACAGACACTTCTCCAAAGAAGAAATTCAGAAGGCCAACAAACACATGACAAGATGCTCCACATTGCTAATTATCAGGGAAATGCAAATAAAAACCACAATGAGATATCACTTCACACCAGTTAGGATGGCCAACATCAAAAAGACAAACAACAACAAATGCTGGCAAGGATGCAGAGAAAGGGGGAACCCTCTTACACTGCTGGTGGGAATATAAGCTAGTTCAACCACTGTGGAAAGCAATATGGAGGTTCCTCAAAAATCTAAAAATAGAAATAACATCTGACCCAAGAATTCCACTCCTAGGAATTCCCAAAGAAAATAAAATCCCAGATTCAAAAAGACACAAGCACCCCTATGTTTACTGCAACACTATTTACAATAGCCGAGATATGGAAGCAACCCAAGTGTCCATCCATAGATGAATGGCTAAAGAAGACACAGTACATATATACAATGGAATATTATTCAGCTATAAGAAGAAAACAGATCCTACCATTTGCAACAACATGGATGGAGCTAGAGGATATTATGCTCAGTGAAATAAGCCAGATGGAGAAAGACAAGTACCAAATTATTTCCCTCATTTGTGGAGTATAACAATGAAGCAAAACTGAAGGAACAAAACAGCAGCAGACTCAGACTCTAAGAAGGGACTAGCAGTTACCAAAGGGGAGGGTTATGGGAGGGCGGGGGGGAGGGAGGGAGAAGGGGATTGAGGGGTATCATGATTAGTACACATGGTGTGGGGGGCATAATGGGGAAGACAAATAGTGAGTCTGTGGCATCTTACTACACTGATGGCCAGTGACTTCAGTGGGGTATGGAGGGAACTTGATGATATGGGTAAATGTAGTAACCACAATGTTTTTCATGTGAAACCTTCATAAAAGTGTATATAAATTATACCTTAAAAAAATGTAAATAATCACACATGGCTAATGGCTACCATACTGGTCAAAGTAGATCTAGAACTTCACTTGGGAACACTTCAAGAGCCAAGATGAAAGATGCCGACACAGTACATTCTTGCTGCCCTTTCAGACTCCCAACTATCTCCTATCCATAATTCCAAGCCACCATGAGCCACATTAGACTTAGGGAATGGTAGACCACTTTCTGAGTACCTATTACTTCAAGGCATTATGAAAAAGCCTTTCATGAGTTTTATCTGATTTAATCCTACAGCCTCTGACATTAAGTACAGAAGTTGCATGGGATGTATAGGATTTCTTCACACACTGAGAGTCCACCATCTAAGGAAAAACTCTAGCATAAAAGCTACAAGGAGCCCAAGTGTCAAATCACAAAATCTGCAAATTACCAAATACCTAGAATCCCAATCTTCAGAGGCACTCGGGAACGGAGCCGTTTTGCCTTCAGAGCTTTAAGGTGATGTAAACGATTCCAGATGGTCTGTTCAGCTTTCTCCCTGCAGAGAACAAATGAGGTGGAATTGAACCTGAAAATAAACTACAAAGCAAGCTAAAATAGTAGGACAATGGGAAGAAAATAAAAAAAACCTTCAACCCTTTAAATGAATATATCTACCTTTATGTTAGTGACAGTGGGCAGGGAGCCAACTGAGCAAGCACCATTCAGTACAGTTCACTATTCTTAGAATGACACTCTTCCTGCACATCTCCAAATCCTGACAAGACTTTATGCCAAACTCGGAAACAATCTACTTCAAAAGCCTTCTACTGGAGTTTGTCCTTCACTGCCCTATCACTTAAACTATTCTTTTCCCTGTACTCAGCCTGTTTTCTCTTCTACTGTTTGACTTTTAACATAGCGCTTTCTGCCAGATGCTAGAGTTATTTGTGTATGTCTTAGTTCTCATATCAGATTAAGCTCCTTAAAGCCAGGATCCATGGAGAAGGGATTCATATTTGAATCTCCCAAGGCACCTACTTCAGTGTCTTACAGCAGAAAACCACCAAACAAAAATGTTGGATTAACTAATGATATTACAGCCAACTGAGGAAACATTAACATTAACATGCTTTACACACAGAAACAAAGGGAAAAGCAGGGTATGTTCCCCTCTGATGGATGCCACCCATCTCTGTTCAGAGAAACTCTGTCCCCTGGTCACTGACTGTACCGAGCCCTTAGGATGTAAGCTACATCATAAACATGTGCCATTACTTGCAAGAAAAACCTTAAGAAAAGTTAGGTGCTCAGCACACTCTTGGTTTCCTCATCTATAAAACAGGTTTGATAACAGCACCTACCTCATGGGGTTGTGTGAATATTAAATGCATGCAGAGTGCCCAGCACAGGACCTGACACATAGTACACATCCAGCAAATGTCAATCAGTTCTATCACAACTAACTCCAGTGCTGGAGAACTGCAAATCCACAGGCTCATCGCCACAGGCAGCTCAGTCTAGCACGGTTAACTCTGGCATTATTATATAAGATACATTCACTTCTCTGGCAACGAACAAATTCGCACCTGATAGAACACGTCACAAGGAGGATCACATCAGCCTGAGTGGAGAACAAGGAAAAAAAGGAAAATCATCATTTTTGAAACCAGCCTTTGCAGAATCACTGCCCACAGCTTTCTTTACTGTGAAAAAACATTCATAATATAAAATTTACCATTTTAACCATGTGAAAGTATATAGTTCAATAGCATTAAGTATATATGCACACTGTACAACCACTACCACCAACTTTAATAACTATTTCATATTCCCCAGCTAAACCTATGTACCCCTTAAACACTAACTTCCCATTCCCCTCTCCTACTCACAGCCCATTTTTAACTTAGTTCCTTGCCTGAAGGTGTGCATCACCTTAAAAGTTTCAAAAATAACCAGGACAGAAGTATACTGAAGACTCATGCTATCAGCTTACCCAAGGGAACTTATTTCACCCAGCCATACCCTGTTCCTATAACTCATCTAAGTACTGGCACAAGGCAGTCTCAGCCAGGCACAGAAAACAAAGGGATCAGAAAATAAATGCATGCATGTACCTCTTGGAGGTTACTGGTCCGCAGGTAGCCACTCTTCTGTAAGATGGACCAGGCTATCTCCGTGTCATTCACATTCATCTGGCAGCCATATGTCTCAAGGTAGACTGCAATGAGACAGGGACTCCATGGTTAGCAAACAAAAAGGGACCACATGTCTCAAAAGGTCCCCTTCCCAAATACCCCAGAAAACACCTGAGGCAACTAGTTAGCTACTATGTCTCTTAACTGCTGCCTTAATTATAAGACACCTTTAACTGCCAGATGTGCACCCAAATTAATGATCACCTTCAGAACAAAAAAAAAAATACTACATTACATATACACACATCAAGTATAAGTCATACCATTTAAAATACGGGGAAAACATGCATGTGAGAACCAAGGAAATATAATTATAAAAACAACTGGAGAAGATACAAGATGGCGGCATAAGAGGTGACAGAGAACTCCTCCCAAAACCACAGATAGTGCGAAAATATAGTTAATACAACTAACCCTAAAACAGCAACAGGAAAGAAGGTTGCACCAGACTGCACACAGACCTCACCAACAGAGCAGACCTCACAAAACAGGGTAACATATGAGAAAGCCTTGATCTAGCGGGACCCGAGCCCTTCCCCCACCCCAGCCCACCAGCAGGAGGAAGAGAAATGGAGGGGGGAAGAAGGTGAAAGCCTGGGAATGCTGAGTATCTAGCCTTGGAGCTCTGCTTTGTGAGCAGAAACCTACATTGTGTGGTGCTCTGGAGGATGGGGAGCTGGGACAGACAGAGTGGCTGGGAGACAGATTCCAGCCATTTGTGGAGGAGGGGATCCACACCCGGCCGCTCTGGAAGAAGGGAAAGGCAGGCAGTTTGAGAGGCTTCCCAGCAGCGAGAGGGCTGCTGAAGGGGCAGGGTTTGCACGGAGTTTGCTGCGAGGGAGAAGGGAGAGCTGGACAAGGATGTCTGGGTGTGCTCTGCCCAGCTGGTTGGGAACATTGCAGAGCTTCAGGCACTCCATCCCTGTCTGGCTACTCAGCTCCAAGGCCCCCCAATGTCACACACAGCCTGCCAAGCCTTCTTCCTGGCCTGACGGCACCAGCTCACAAACCTGCAGTCACTATGCTGGGGTCAGGCCAGCCAGAAGGAGGCCCCGCCTACAACAGCTAGAGACACAAAGCACAGAGGCTTACACCTGTCTGCTCAGCCCACTGGCTCTGATACGGGAGACAGGCACAGCAGACAGTAATCAGGTAAAAGAGCTTTCCTCCCCCCAGCCACCAGCCCCACTCCCCTACAATCCCCAACCTCATTGTAGGGGCTAAGCAGCTCCATAGACTGGAGCTTCCAGGCACTAGAGGGCACCACACAGAAATATGAAATGTCAAAAGAACATGGTTCAGACCAAAATCTCACAAACCCCAGAAAAAGGACCAAATGAAACTGAACTCACCAATCTTCCTGAAAGAGAGTTCAAAATAAAAATCATAAACATGCTTATGAAGGTATAGAAAAAATATCCAAGAACTCAGGAACAAACTCAAGATGGAGATTCAATCACTAAGAAATTCCATATCTGAAATGAAACATACAATGGAGGGATTTAAAAGCAGATTAGATGTAGCAGAAGGGACAGTAAATGGAATAGAAATTAGAGAAGAGGAATACAAAGAAGCTAAGGCACAGAGAGAAAAAAGAATCTCTAAGATTGAAAGAATATTGAGAGAACTGTGTGACCAATCCAAACGGAACAATATTTACATTATAGGGGTACCAGAAGAAGAAGAGAGAGATAAAGTGATAGAAAGTGTCATTGAGGGGGTAATTTCTGAAAACTTCCCCAATCTGGGGAAGGAGATAGTCTCTCAAGCCACGGAGATGCAATCTCCCAACACAAGGGAATCAAGGAAGACAACATCAAGACATATAACAATTAAATGGCAAAGATTAATGATAAGGACAGAGTATTAAAAGCATCCAGAGAAAGGTAAAAGATCACATACAAAGGAAAACACACCAGGCTATCATCAGATTTCTCAACAGAAACCTTACAGGCCAGAAGGGAGTGGCATGATATATTTAATGCAATGAAGCAGAAGGGCCTTGAACCAAGAATACTCTACCCAGCAAGGTTATCATTTACATTTGAAAGAGGGATTAAACAATTGTCAGATAAGCAAAAGCTGAGAGAATTTACCTCCCACAAACCACCTCTACAGTGCATTTTGGAGGGACTCTTATACATGGAAGTATTCCTAAGGCCCCAAGGGATAGACAAAGAGTACAGAATATGATTTATAACATACAAAGAATGGAGGAGGAAAAAAAAAAGGATCCTTAGGTTGGGTTTGTCACAGCATACAAAGTGAGTTAAATTAGACTGTTAGATGGTAAGGGAATGACCCTTGAACCTTTGGTAACCACGAATCTAAAGGCTGCAATGGCAATAAGTACATACCTATTGATAATCACCCTAAAGGTAAATGGTCTGAATGCACCAATCAAAAGATGTAGAGTCACTGAATGGATAAAAAAAAAAAAGATCCATCTACATGCTTTCTACAAGAGACTCACTTCAAATCCAAAAACATACACAGACTGAAAGTAAAGGGATGGAAAAAGATATTTCATGCAACTAATAGGAAGAAAAAAGCAGGAGTTGCAGTACTTGTATCAGACAAAATAGACTTCAAAACAAAGAAAGTAACAAGACACAAAGGACATTACATAATGATAAAGGAGTCAGTCCAACAAGTGGATATAACTATTATAAATATCTATGTACCCAACACAGGATCACCTACATAATGTGAAACAAATACTAACAGAATTAAAGGGGGAAATAGAATACAATGCATTCATTTTGGGAGACTTCAACACACCATTCACTCCAAAGGACAGATAAACCAGACAGAAAACAAACAGACAGAGGCACTGAACAATGTATTAGAACAGATGGACCTAACAGGCATCTACAGAACACTCCATCCAAAAGCAACAGGATACACATTCTTCTCAAGTGCACATGGAACATTTTCAAGATAGATCACATACTAGGCCACAAAAACAACATCAGTAAATTCAAAAAGATTGAAATTGTACCAACCAGCTTCTCAGATCACAAAGGTATGAAACTAAAATGAATTACTCAAAGAAAATGAAAAAGCCCACAAACACATGGAGGCTTAATAACATGTTCCTAAATAATCAATGGATCAATGACCAAATAAAAACAGAGATCAAGCAATATATGGAGAAAAATGGCAACAATAATTCAACACTGCAAAATCTGTGGGATGCAGCGAAAGCTGTGCTAAGTGGGAAATATACTACCATACAGGCCTACCTCTGGAAAGAAGAACAGTCTCAAATGAACAGTCTAAACTCATAATTAACGAAACAAGAAAAAGAAGAACAAACGAGGCCCAAAGTCTGTAGAAGGAGGGACATAATAAAGATAAAAGCAGAAATAAATAAAATTGAGAAGAATTAAACAATAGAAAGAATTAATAAAACAGGAACTGATTCTTCAAAAAAATAAACAAAATAGATAACACCTAGAAAGACTTATTAAGAAAAAAAGAGAGTCTACACACATAAACAGAATCAGAAATGAGAAAGGAAAATTCACTACGGATACCATAGAAATACAAATAATTGTGAGAGAATACTATGAAAAATTATATGCTAACAAACTGGATAACCTTGGAGAAATGGACAATTTTCTAGAAAAATACAACCTTTCAAGGCTGATCCAGGAAGAACCAGAAAATCTGAATAGACCAATTACCAGCAAAGAAATTGAATTGGTAAACAAAAAATGATCTAAGAACAAAACCCCTGGTGCAGATGATTTCACTGGTGAATTTTATCAAACATTTAGTGAAGACCTAATACCCACCCTCCTTAAAGTTTCACAAAAAGTAGAAGAGGAGGGAATACTCCCAAACTCATTCTATAAGGCCAACATTACACTAATACCAAAACCAGGCGAAGACACCACAAAAAAAGAAAATTACAGACCAATATCCCTGATGAACATAGATGCAAAAATACTCAACAAAATATTAGCAAACTCAATTCAAAAATACATCACAAAGATCATCCATCATGATCAAGTGGGATTCATCCCAGGGATGCAAGGATGGTACAACATTCAAAAATCCATCAACATCCACTTCTAGGAATTTACCCTAAGAATGCAGCAGCCCAGTTTGAAAAAGACAGATGCACCCCTATGTTTATCACAGAACTATTTACAATAGCCAAGAAATGGAAGCAACCTAAGTGTACATCAGTAGATGAATGGATAAAGAAGATGTGGTACATATACACAATGGAATATTATTCAGCCATAAGAAGAAAACAAATCCTACCATTTGCAACAACATGGATGGAGCTAGAGGGTATTATGCTCAGTGAAATAAGCCAGGCGGAGAAAGACAAGTACCAAATTATTTCACTCATATGTGGAGTATAAGAACAAAG